GCTCCATTTGTCGGTGCTTTCAAAAGAAGGTTGGATCAACTGAGAGACCACCATTATCTGAACTACGACAGGCCTCCTATCCTTTCGAAACTGAAACAATTTCCTGTTTATTCTTTTACTTTTGTTTGTTCTTCAAGCCTGTTTTGATTATGGGGCATCGATTGTTTGTCGCTTCTAGACGCATAAGAGGAAAGCTTCCCTAATATCATTGAAAACAGTCTGAGTCATTTTGGAGTTTGAAAGTTGTTTGATTGACTTCAAGTGTTGAGCGGTTGGTAGAATGTGGTTGTTTGTTGGGAATGTATATGGTGTTTCTTAGTTTGTGTGATCGCTCAGATATCGGATATCAGTAACTCAGCTACTGGGTATGTATGAAATCATTTTTACAATAATTTGCACAAGTGTTTTTCAATTTTCCATGATCGGAACATGAACAAGTTCAAATGGTTCAAATGGTAACCATTTGAACCATTTGAACTTAAACACAAGATACATCCTAGCTCATTAGTAAAGTAGTTTTTCAAGCAAGTTGGTATACCTGGTGTATCGTTTTTATTTTCGGAAATGCATCGATTTATCCCTAATTGAGGTGGGATCCAGCGGGTGATATAGTCAGGGTGGTTCCTTTCTTTGGCCGACTTGTAAGTGGGGCTGGTTTTGTACCTGTCTTAAGGTGTGTAAATTTCTAGACAGATTAGTGTATTTGTCTTAGAGAAGTCATTTTTGAAAAGATTTACTTAGTCAAAGTAACTTGAATTGGATCGTCAGTCTTACCATCCCTAGTTAGTCGTATGTGAAAATCGTATTCACTGACAGTCATTAGGAAATGTCACTGCGAAAGCTAGCTTCTATGGTTTTCTCATCTTCAACATTATTTTCACTTAACCACCTCACTCTTTATGTCTCCGCAATCTGGCTGTGTCTTCAGCAGCGGTTACTGAAAATCGGCTGGGTAGTAAGCAGTATTTTACCGTGTTTTCGGCGTTAATTTCCACTCGACTAATTTAGGGCTAGCGATACCGGTGGGTAGCTTGAGAGGCTTTATGGAAGCTTTCAAATATGTAATTCAATTGTTCTAGGTACCGTGCTAGCCACCAACCAATTGCTCTAGTGATGCTTACGTCGATGTCATTAAATGATTTAATACCCATCACTTGTGTCCAGTAAATGCGTAACAAAATAGGTTACTACAAGTTTCGTTGAAAAGTGTATTCTTAATCACAATCTATAAGCTTTTTTCATTTGTCAGGCAAAATGCAGTAACTTCAGTAGGATTCGGCACAATGACTCAGTTTCATTCCGTTTCATCCATATAATCTACCACTGAACACATTTTATTGTTTTGTCAAGCAACTCTCTGTAAAAAACCGATTGTTTCTATCTTAAAATCCAACACACTAAGCACGCACTAAATTTTTAACTGCACTTACAGTATCAATTGAACTTGAGTAGGATGAATAGCTGAGTACTCCAATGTCTTACTAATGACTAAAAGCTATTAGTTGTTAGCTGGTTTTAACGTCTGAAGTGTATACTGCAATATTAAGTCCTGCAGTCTAGTGAATATAGTTCTCAACGTGATAGATCTAGATTCAGCATCACAGGATTTCGAGAAATAACTATTTAATGGTGATCATTAGAGGGATTTCGATCGGTATATTTTTCTTCATTGATATGATTGTTGTTAAGTAATACTAGAATACAGCAATCCCAAAAACAGGCGTTCAAATTTAAAGTAAAGTGGGTTGTTAGGATCTTCATAGAATATGAAGCCCTAAAACTTTGATGCACTCCAAATTCGTCATAAGCATCCCACTTACAACAGTTTTTGGGTTCTTTGGCTGCTGAATAATACCCTAATAAAGCTGTTATTCTAACTACGTAGAAACCCTGGAATATAGAATCTTCTCAATAACCTGTGAAGTTGAAGGAGATAGACTAAGTTATAAGATAAAAAGGTAGGTCACTCGATTGGGTCTTTGTGTCCCCTATGTTTCATTACTTTAGTACGAACGAGGGGACTTGAATCTAACTAATTTATATGACGTTTTACACTGTATCTAAACACGTTCCGACAGGCACTAGGTTACACCAGTATTTCACAGTTCGGGATTTCCTGTAAAGGTAGAAGCGCGTCAGAGGTCAAAACACATCAATGTCTCATCTAGTGCATACGACTGCTAATAAAAAAACTACAGCTCCTGAACACACATTTTTCATTTTATTTACGTTTTTCTACCTGTTTTATATGCATATAGAAGTTTTTTAGTGTAAGCGAAAAGTAGGACCTTGTTAAAATGTTTTGTGCTGGAAATTCAGTTGTGCACAGTACTAAGTATTGAATAAATGGATTATTGTTATTCTATAAAATATCATAAATAACACCATCGCGGTTATGTTCACACTCACTTGATACTTTAATTTCTAGCGTCCGAGTGCGTATTCATTGATTTAACATCACAAGATGATTAATTCATTTTTATTGATTTGGTTATGCTAATGTCAGTAGTATAGATGTCATGTGACTAGTGCGTGGAATTTATGTCAAATAAAGTAATTAGTATCCATAGTTTAATAAAACGAATCTTACTGAAAAAGTAATATACAGATTTGTGTATTGAGGATAGAAAACCTACAATCTGTGTTTGTCCTAATCTAGTAAGCTTCTGAGTGTCTGGTTTTTTTTGGATTAGTGAGTTGAAGAGGTAGACACCACTTTTGGTAACAGGTTTCAAGAATCGATGACTCGATAGTCACCGTCTGTACTTTTCTCAAGATATCCGAGTCACCTATTAATACAAAGGCTTGCAACCTAATTTATTTATTTATTTATTTGGACACATGAATATTGGTACAAGAGAGCGCCAATATATATGCGCCACACAAAACAATGAAAATTCGAGAGGAATACAAAGAAGAAAAAAAAGCTAAGGAGCGCAACGAAAAAAAGAGAGAACAATAACGAAGAGATTGGTGTAAGGTAATGTGCTAGTAATCAGGGAACGCAAAGGTACAATCGGAAGAAACCTTTCAGGTAAGGGAGGCACAGCCACTTTTTATGAAGAAAGTAAAAGAAGGTTACAGCAGGATCGCCACTGCCTTCTATTCTGAGCCATATCTGATAATGTCTTTAGCCACTGTGTAGCACCATCTCTCAGACCCCAACCAGGGAGTCGTGAAGGACCAACACAAGCCAGTCCTTCGCAGCTTTCTTTCATGCCACGACACTATGTCATGCACTGACCACCTCTCCGCTTCTTCCAACCAGTCCCAGAGTCAGCAAATAATGCACGACGTGGAATTCTCTGGGACGACATTCGTAGAACATGTCCAAGCCACCGAAGTCGGTGTTTCAAGATGGTGACACCAATTGCATTATCGTCTCTGTACCCGAACACACGATGCCGAACCTCTGCATTACTGACATGATGTTGCCACTGAATGTCAGCAATCCTTCGGAGACAGCGATGATCGAACACAGAGAGTCGTCTAACGTCCTCAACTCGGAGAAGCCAGGTTCCACAAGCATAGAGCAAAACTGTTCTCACCGACGCGTTGTAGATCCGACCTTTTACAGCCAGACTAATATCATGAAGGCGCCAAAGGTGGCCCAGATTGGCATAGGCCGCTCTGGCTTTCACTATACGTGCATTGATTTCATCACTCACACCCCCACCAGCACTTATGCAGCTACCCAGATACACGAACTTCTCGACTACGTCTATCTGCTCACCATCCAGGGTGAGTACAGGATTGGAATCCTGCCAGTCTTGTAGAAGTACTTTGCACTTCGACGGTTCAAAGCACATACCATACCTACGGACACTAATTGCCAACTAATTAAGTGCGGATTGCATGCCTTGGGCATTATCGCACAGTAAGACAATATCGTCCGCATACTCAAGGTCGAGAAGTCTTTCACTAGGCAACAGATCCACACCACCATTACTTACATTCATCAGAGCTGTTTCTAGAATGTCATCGATGGCAAAGTTGCAACCTAAACTGAGTTTCCAAGTTTGGATGTCACTATGATTGTATATACTGTAGTGAACATATTAGTATCTAACTTGTTAAACGTCCGTCTTAAAGCTTATGGGGTTTTGTACGCCTCAGCTGCTACCTCTAGGCAGTAGACCGTGGTCTTAATATCATGGCTCATTTTCATCTGAAGATCCAGACTATGGGCACTTACTTTTCCTGTGCTATATATGTTTACATTTGTATCTGCAATTTTCATGTAAACATACTTAGCCACGTTGATGGGCACCAACCATTTTTTAGATCAGCTAATCATAACATCGAAGTCTAGCTGAAGTGCACATGCATATACTCCCCCTACTACTTGACTCGATTTTTACATCAGCGAATGGTAGCATAGGTGACTTAACCATATTTGGGAGTTCATTTACATACGGCATAAAAAGTAAAGGACCTAGGACAGAGCATTGCAGTACTCCACTAAATACTGGTTTCCAGGAGGAGCATTTGAAATTCATTCTTTCTGTCTACGACCTACCAAGAAATCGTTGGTCTACTTTGGGAGAGGTCCGGCAATTCCTGAATTTTCCAGCCTCAAGAGTAGTTTATATTTTTGGCACCTTATCAAATGCTTTGCTGAAGTCTGCGTAGATAACATCCACTGATTTTCTATTATCTAGAGCCTTTGTTCATTGCTCTCACTATAACGTGACTTGTTATGCAAGATAATCTTTTCTTGAAACCATGTAGTTCGCTGTTTAACAAGTTGTTGGTTTCCACAGATGTCATTCTAGTCTTTTTGATTATTCTCTTAACTACGACACTGGTGAAGCTAACAGGTTTGTAGTTTCATGGAAGTTGTTTCGATCCTGTTTTGTCCTTCTAGTTCGTAGGTAACTCACCTTAGCCAAGTGACATATTGATTATCGTAGTGAGTTATAGTATCACTATTGTTTTTCTCTAATAACAAAAGGCATTTCATATTATTAATTTTAGCAGGTCACAGAAAAGTAACAAAGATGCCTAGTGTGACTACAACAAGTACTGTCAGTTCATCGGGAGTTCGTTTAATGCGTAAAACTTCATGTACTGGTACCAACGATCAAGCTAATAATTCATCGTTTCAACACAATCCTGACAGAAAATCACTAAGAGATCAACCAAATGTAGGGAAATATAAGTTAATTCGTACACTTGGTCGTGGTAATTTTGCAAAAGTCAAATTAGCACAACATGTTTCAACTGGACGTGAAGTAAGAATTCAAACATTATTGAGTTTTACAGATTATGTTTTATGAAAATCACTTAGGAATTTTCTAATTCAATTTGTATATTAATTTGAATAGTTTTTCTCTAAAACTGATATTCACCTGAATATAGCTCGTTGAAAATAAGTCAGTGTTAATCCACATAAAGTATTCAAGTATTCCATTCGATTTATATGCAAACGACATTGTCATTGAAATGTAAAGTAGAACAGCATCCTACCATGTTAACACACTTCACTCCATCGTATATGTAGTTGATCTAAGACAAACAACTTCATCATGCAGAATTAGTTTCTGATTATCATTTCAGATTTCATTACCAGTTTGATTTAAACTATTTATCAAATTACTGTATAGATTGAAGACTTCCGAAATTTGTATGGTAATCATTGTTTATGCTTAACCAGTTATTTATTTATTTTTCTTTTAAGAAACTAAAAACCTCCCCCATTATATTATTGCAGGTTGCTGTGAAGGTGATCGATAAAACTCAGCTTAATCAGGCCAGTTTGAAGAAGGTAAGTTAATTAATTAGTGTAACACTAACATGCAATTCATTTACTGAGTACATATTTGTTTATTTTTTTTCAGCTTTAAGTTACTGTAGTTAGGAGGATGGTGATTTTATCCGACTGCTCAAACTCAAGTTAAACTTGAATTTGTAACCTACTAATTGAAAGTTATTAATCTGTCATCTCTCCTATTGACTTCATTCAATCAATCAGTCATCATCACATAGAACCTGGTACATATGAGTATCAGTTCGATATACCACATTATATGAAGACAAAGATAAAATTTTTGAATGCGGATACCAGAGTAGCAGACGTAGTAAAATTATTGTTAGTAATAGAAAAGATTAGGTATAAATGTTATATTTTAAGAAAGAACAAATTTACGCAGTGAAGAGTGTTAGGTTATTTTAAAACTCAAGAGATGACTAATATTAAATATTCACTATTGGTACTTGATGTGAACCATTTCACCTGATATTTTCAACTATTCGTTATGATTATTACCCACATACTAATCAAGTAGCCTACATCTGCTAATGTGGCCTAAGTCAATAGCTGTGATCCTATCTCATCAATTATATTACGCGTTCGTGCTCAAGACTGATAGTCCCTTGGTTCGAATCCCGCGAGAGGGAGGCGGGACCGTGGATGCGCACCGTTGAGGTGTCCCATACTAGGACGAAACGGCCATCCAATGCTTCCAGGTATTCTATGGTGGTCTAGTTTCAATCGACTGATGATTTCAACTATTGAAATATATTAAAATTCTTGAAGTAATTATAATCTCTGTACTAATTTTTAGTGGGAATGTTAGTTTTGCCTATTAGGTTAATATGCGTTTCACCATAGATGAGCCAGAGCTATTATGAAACTACTATCTTTCTTGCTCCAAGATACTGAAATACTATCAAGTAATAAATGGTATGGATCATTTCTATTTCTCGCCCTCTCCGTGTGTGTGTATATAGATTTTCTCCCAAATTAATTGTCTGTCTTCCTTTATTATTATTATTATTATTACCTTTTCTAATCGAATTCGTTTTACTCCTTAGTTGTATGGTTTGTACATAAGCATGAAAGTAAGTGGGGAGAGAGAAAAAGTGAATGATTAAGAGATGACAACTAAGGCCAATGGGCCAATATGTATATTACAGAATTCCACAAATAATTAAAACAATAGGCTGTCTGTCAAAAAATCAATAACAATAATGATAATAATGATAAAGTCAATTTGACACGTGTTGCTATCTCTCTCCCCTTTTCTCTCTCTCTCTCTCTCATTCTCTCCTTTCATTTCTGTCACTCACGAATATTCACACAGACATAGAGATAAAGAGAGAGAGAGAGAGATGAAAATCAATTAAATTTAATATCTTTTCATTGATTCTTTTTTGTGTTTAACAATAACTATACTCTCTTTATCCATTGTATAATATGGAGTATTGATAGTATTATTATTGTTATTATTACTACTACCGGAAAAAATGTTTGACATTTGTTTCACATTACTTATACGGTTAATTAAAGTGTCCATTGAAGCTAGATCACCATGAAAAACCTGGAAGTACTAGACAGCAGTTTCGTCCTAGTATGGGACACCTCAGCTGCAGTGCGCATCCACGATCCTGCCCCGCGAGATTCGAACCCAGAACCTATGAGTCTCGCGCGCTTCCAAGTTGACTTTCAAACTCGAAAATGCTCTGATATGACTGAGAGTAGGGCGAGCCAGCTCTCCTTCTCGAAATGCTCTCACATGGCAACATGCATACAATCACTGTCACAGAAGTCCTACTCATTGCCTTCTTGTGGCACTACTGTTGTTTACAAAATTGACAGCATGGAAAGCGAATATTGGGCATTTGAACTGGGTTAGTGGATATGAAGGATCCACCTAGTTGAGTCGGAAAATCTTGATTCCGACCCAATGGATTTAATAAATCACAATTGAGTCTGTTTCTTTGTTTAGATGAATTTGAATATATTACTGATTGATTTTAGTTTGAAAACCATTGGAAATCTAAAAACATTGTACGGTTATCGGACCTTGTTTAAATCAATCTAGTTTGCGATATAAATGACGAACTAAACAATAAACAAGCTGATTTGATTAGGAATGTATTACTCTCAGATAGTGAACTTCATACAGATTAGTCTTTTGAAACAATGAAGTAATGAATAAGTTTATATTCATTGAGTAAGGTAGCTGGTATATGTTATAAGTGCTTAACCATCTCTTATCTGTATGGCCATAGTTAATCGATGTAAGAGTAGGCTATAAAATGGACATGCTAACTGCGTAAATCAGATGGATTATAGAACTGTGAACTCAATTTTGTAACCAATGAATCATGGGTTGCAGTTCTACTTTTATTCATCAGAGTTCTATTAATAATATATTGGTCTCATTTCCCGACCGTAGCTGCTACCATGCCAGGCAGGTCGATTGGAGAACTGTAAGACTAAAAGCAGCAACTCAAGGTCTGAGGGCGAAGTCGTACTGCTGACTGTAGAGGGGTGTGACTGCAGTAAAGTGTTTCCCTCAGACAACCAGCATCTACAGCGATGCTGCCTTCTCACAAGGAGGGGTGGGGTTAGAGACGGATTACCGTCTCCGGCGGTAATGCCGTTTGGAGAACGGAGCTAACACATTAAAAACCTTCCACAAAAAGGCCGTGCGCGACCGGCCTCAAGCAGCTGTCCCTTGGGCTCTGCGGTCACGCTCCCGGGCCGTTAAGATCAACGCTAATCCAATTTCCTTTTCAGGTCCCTCAAGAAACACTCTTCCACAGTGTGGGCAGCCGGTAAGTGACACCAGCCCGGAACAGCACACGAGACCAAGTTGGTCACATTCAAATCCTTCCTACACCTCTTAATACCACTCTTATCTCCCCGACTAACCCTCCTCACGTCCTTTTTTCACCTCGCCTGTCTGTTTTTTCTCTTCCCAAATTTATTTCACTGGATTACACTTTAAATAACATCTGCAAACCCTAATCTTCCCGATTACTGCTTATACTCTTACTACCTTTACCACTACGGGATTTGAATCGACAACTGCATCTCTGTGCTAATGTGGTGTGGCAACTCGAACTGATGTACGTACGTACGAAGTTCTACGTTGTTACTGACTGACTGAGATCTCATTTACTATGGAGAAAGTGTCATAGGTTCGATTGCTGCTTCATATATTTTAGGCAGGCAGTCAGTCAGGTAACATATCTAACTCTTATATTTAATGTATCATCCAACAAGATACTGAGTACGGGAATCTGTATTTTAATCTACCAGGTTACATTGAATAATAATACTTTCTTGATCATTAAAAAATAACTATTTTTTGGATTATTCAACTTTCTTTTTATGCTTTTTCCCTTTCAATATCAGCTATTCCGAGAAGTGAATATAATGAAAATGTTAAATCATCCAAACATCGGTAAGATACAATTTTGTTTATGGTTATTATTATACAATAATCATATATGATCATTCAGTCATTCAGTGATTGTAACCATTAGTACATAATCTCATCATTGATTACTGATCCAATTTTATCGATTAAGTTATATAACCATTAATTTAAGTAACTTGACACATGGCTGTATACTTTATATTAGCTGATAAGAGAGAGAGAGACGTTACTATTGATTTATACAGGTTAACACAGGTTCGAGCTGTCCAGGTTTTTGGATACTCCCTACTAATGAATACCAATTACCAAGAAATCTAATATCAGGACATACTGTTTATTGCCTAAAATACTTTCATCTAACATTTGTATATCATTAAACTTAAATTGTAGAAAATTCTAGTTTCAATTGTGTTGTTAGAATGAATTGATTTAACATGGAGTTGATAATAGTTCGGTTCGATCGTATGGAGATTCATCGCTAAGACGACGACGACATGTCACTGATTAGTGGAGGTGTATAGGTTTGCTTTTAAACCATTCAATATTTAATCAATAGATTCCATATTCGAACCTCACTCGACATATTTTTGTTTGAACAACTAGCTAATATGATGAAACCCCTCTTATCACAAACAGCTTGACTCAAGATCAAGTGCATTCAAAAGTTGCTAATATTATCGGTTTAAGTGATTTTGCTTGGAATTGATTAATTCAATTAGTGGTAGTGATCAATGGAAATGCTATTGTAAAATGGAGTTGTCAGGGGAATTATTTGGTTTGAGTTTGCTGCTCAATTATTCCTATTCACAATAATCATGTCTAGTAAAAAGGTGATGATGAGAACACTTCAATGAACATATGTTATTTCTTCATGTTTCCATGATAGTTGTCTAGTTGATGATAAGGCGTTGAAAACCATAGTTATAATTGTGTATATTTGTGTTGTCTGATTGTGGATGTATTATTATTTGTTTAAAAAAGGTAGAAATGAGAAAGGCAATGTAGGATCACTGTTCTACTGATATAATGTCGTTTCTAACTGGTCTAACAATTACAGTTATTTTCTGTGTTTCTGTGTGAAATTTTCAGTCTAATTTATAATCTATACTTTTTATATTGTGAATTCATTTGTTCATTCTTTTTCTTTGTAACAGTATAGATTTTTATGACCCCATTTTGGCAACTTTTACCACCCGTAGTGTTGATGACATGTTCATATCATTTGCTCATCAGCAGTATCGTCTGTTTTAATTTATAGACATAAAAATGAAATTTATAAATAACAGACACAAATAGGCCAGAAGGTTTTAACCGTAGATACCTTCGAAGGATTCCTCACGTATATGTGTGTGTGGTGGTGGTGGGCAACAAAAATTGATTAATGCGGTGGTTCAATATGATTTACTTAGGTAACGATAACGAGTGGTTTGATAGGGTGGGTGGATGTGTACTAATCTTCATTGATTGAGATAGCTGGAGTAAATTTTACACAGACACAATCATCATTTACACAAGTTGTGGGTAAAAAAAACAACAGAGGCGGTAAACCAAAAAAAATAGCCTATTGGACTGTGCTGAACAGAGAGCGGTACAGACTATCTTGATTGAATGAAGCTCAATTAAATTCCTTCAATGATGATTGATTTGAATAGTAATACTTTGAATTAATATAATTCTCTATTTGTTTAATTGAATAAATTGAAGTATAGAATTTCATCGACTGTTTATAGGATATATGATTGTTTCGTTTGACATTTGACAAATTTAAGCACCGTTTAAAATGATGTTGTAATACGATTGTTTTTGAAAGTATTTGTATTGTAAGTTTTATTTCGTTGAATTTATTTCATCATCATACATATGACTGAAAGGAATATGTATGTACATGCATAATCATAAGTGAAGGGGGATGCTGGTGGTGGAGGTGATGAAGGTAGTGGTGGTTGGAATCAATGATTTGTCAACTCAAACACAACTGCTCACAATATGGAATTCATTTGAGTTACTAGTATATTTATTTATGTATTAGTCGATTAGTGTAGGTGTACATGTGTGATTTAGTGATTCCATGCACAGTATTTATACTTCATAAATATTGAACGTTCTCTTTGAAAGTGGATCTAACTGTGAATGAGTTCAACTGATACTTAGTTACCATATTTTTGTCTTTAAAATCAACATTATTGTTGCTAACCATATTTTCTGGTTATTCTTCTTCTTCTTATTGTCAACTAGTTCGCTTATATGAAGTGATCGAATCTGAGCGTCATGTATATCTAGTGATGGAATATGCAGAAAATGGTAAGTTCTTTGTCTTACTTTTGCATTTCTTATTGTTTGTTATAAACAAATGGCATTTCCTATGAAATCTATCAAATTTTACTGATGATGACATTTAGATAATGAAGCTTTGACATTAGATCCTTCTATTGAATGTCTGTCTTTTTGTTTTCGAGGTTTGTTCAGTTCATATTTCATAGCAAGATATACCTTTATTATATACTAAATTTAATGATTCTACATTTGTTATACCAACCATATTCCTTTTTCATTATTATTATTGTTGTTGTTTAATCCTTATTATTTAAACACAAGCAGATACCGAATAGATATACTGCACATAGATCATTCGATTTGTGTGAGGGCTGGGATACTACTGTCCGGGTGCTCAAACCGAAACAGTTGGTTTTCTTAGGAGGCCACAACTGGGACCCTTGACCTAAAGGTCTGATCCACAAGGTAGTAGAGAAAAATCGGTAGGTGCAGTTCCATGGTAGTCAGTGAACAACGATTAGTTCACATGCTATTTGTTCATTAAGGATCCTATAGCCGATGTGCCCCATTGGTTTAGAATCAGGGTTTTATAGCACCCCTAGATGGACTCTGTGAGTCGTTTTATTATTATTATTATTATCAGCTTTATTCAATATTATATTTTTGGTACAATATAGAATTCTCAGCACAAAGTATTTCAACAAGTTTCCGTTTCTTTCTTCTTGGTCGGTCCTGGCGATAAGTATTGAGTGATCTCCAGTTAGGTGTTAGTAGTTCAGTAAATGAACATCTGAATAATGTGCATTCTTTTCGTTGTATATTGCCAGCAACTACATTGTCTCTTATTGAGTTTTTTGTAACTTTGACAACGAAAGGTTGTACACTTTTCAGAAACGCAGCAGACTTGTTTATGCGATTAATAAACATAATGATATATTAAAACAAACAAAAGTAGATAACTTGTTGAAATATTTAGATGGCAGGAACAGGTAGCCCAGATGCTCAAGCAGGCCGCCCTATATCCATGATATTGTTTAATATTTAAGTCATGTTGCATATTTAATTTATTACTTATGCCTGTATCTTGGATACGTGAATAAGGTGTTTTTTTTCAGTATTCCCAGAAATGTTTGTCTATGTTATCAGTATCATAGGTATTAATTCACTACCTACAATATTCTGATAGATTTACAGCTTTAGATTTCCTCAAGGTCTAATCAAAATTGATGGGTTTGTAATTGAAATAATTTTGGGATGAGTTTGTAAAACACATTTAACTAATTGATGACACGGTCTGAATGGTGTAGGTGGTGTATACACTCTCTATGTTCCCTTAGACCTTAAGCTTAAAATCACTTCATATCTTCCTTTCTACGAACTAATTTTTGCTCTCTGTATTATATCCTTATATGCAATCTTTCTTTTATATATTACACCATTGAGTTAAGTGCTTCTATGAATCCGGTGTTCATGTTGTTGTTGTGCTATGGAGGAAGGTATGACGACTTGGATCGATGCATATATGTGCCTGGTCCTACTTTGTAACTGACTGAATTTATGACACTTATCATGTAGGCAATGTATAGATTTCCCTGTCAAAGGCAGAATCATTTGATCAACAATTTGAATTATATTTCTTCTAACGACTGATATTTCAACGGTATACGTAAATTAATGGTATTTTATTACCATGTTGTTCACCATCATCGGTTAGTTCTATGGATTGCGAACACTTTTCACCCCTGCCTTTAACTGATTGTTTTTCATTTTGAAATATACACTCATAGGGGTTAATATTTTAATTATTTTATTAGCTCTCATTTACGTTGACTTCTTGTGTGTTGATATGATGGTGTGTATCATGACTTCTTAGGCTAATATATATTACTAAGAGATCTTCCCTAAATTGTGTTTTGATTCAATCAATGTAACTATTACTACTGTACAGAATGTATGTCACTGGAAACTGTGGTCTGATGTATTTTGTCTTATTTATCAATATTTACTTTCCTTGCTGATAATCAATTTTCTTTTTAATGAATAATTCACCTTGACCTGATTCAGTGTAAAGAAAGAATCGATTATTATTATTATTATTACTATTACTGCACACTTTTACTAATCCATCTTGGCTTATTTCTATCTGTCTGATTATCTATTTTAAAAGCTGTCCTCCATCTACTCGTTTTCTTGCTTTCTATCTATCTATCTATCACTTCCTCGTTAAAATGCACAAAGCTAAGATTAAATTGATGGATGAGTGTATGATTTGAGTGTATGATGATTGGTTTGTATTACACTTGTGAATACGATTTTTCATCGGAAATATTAATTGATTACATGGTTATTATCACATCAACTTTCTTTCATGTAGGTGTTTTCTCATTATATCCTTTCGTTTTCTTTCATTTCACTCCTGTTTTATTACAATCGAATCAATGATGTATATTTCCAAGCTGACTGGGATCAATACTAGTTATAGATTGATACTTCTATGAGTCAGTGGTTTGGTAGTCATAATCATCGACTTTCATTCAACAAATTAAGCTTTGATATCCCTTGTCTAGTTAATTCAGTTTGTATAACTGGTTGATATGTCAGTAGCCGTCGTGCTTAGGGTGTGGCCCTCAAGTGTCCTGGTACGGCCGAGGATGTGGAGAGTCCGCTCACCCTCTCGAAATGCTCTCACATGGCCACATGTATATAGCCTATGCCAGAGAAGTCCTACTCACTGCCTTCTCACATCATGGGTGTTGTTTACGAAATCGCGAGGACGAAAAGTGAATGTCCGGCGCTTTAACCGGGTTTGTGGACATTGAGTTGGAAACCCCAATTCCAAAGCAATCGTGCACATGGTTTCCGTATCCTGAGATAACAAATGTCGTATGAACCAATCGTTGGTCACCGGCTACCATGGGACTGCATCTCCTTACGATGCTCCATTGCATTGTGGATCAGACCTTTAGGTGGAAGGCTGCGAGTGTGGCCCCCCAAGTAAACCACCTATTCTGGTTTGGACAGCCGGGCAATATCACAGCCCTCACGCAAGTCAAATGAGATTTGTGTGGCGCAAATGTAATTGGTACCTTCTTGTATCAATATCTATGTGTTCAAATAAAATATATATAAAATAAAAAGTGGCTTGATCCTGCTATTTTACTGATCGTAGCGTTATTTATATTTATTTATATATATAAATTTCCAATTTTTTCTCATCTGAAGTCAGTCAATCAGTAACAACGTAGAACTTCGTACGTACGTACATCAGTTCGAGTTGCCATATCACATTTGCACACAGATACAATTGTCGATTCAAATCCCGTAGTGGTAGAGGTAGTAAGAGTATAAGCAGTAATCGGGAAGACTAGGGTTTGAAGATGTTATTCAAGGAGTATAATTCATTGAAATAGATTTAGAAAAAAAGAAAGGGACATGAACAATTCAGGAAATAAGGATTTGGGAGAACACAAAAGTGGATGCACCTGCTCACACCATTTCAAACGATTTTGAGCCATGTCATTCAAGGTTTCTATCGTCTCGCAGATCCCAACAAGGTAGTCTACACCTACCAACATGATTCAGTCCACTTGTTGGTAGCGACTTCATGGATTTGTGCCATGTTTTGGTCTGACCGCCCCTAGCTTTCTTCCAACCTACTCCTACACCATAAAACATTGCACGTCGGGGCAGTAACTTACATCAACTTGCCCTTCAGGTCTACTGGAGATCGTGAGAAATTGTAGATAGTTTAATTGAACATTTATTGGTAAATTCATTTAATCAAACAAATTAGGAGTTTCTATGTCCAGTTTCAGAAGCGCGCGCCAATGGGTTGGTGTCTGACGAAATCTCAGCACGGATTCAATAAGCTCGTTTGGCTTTTTCCGATTTGCGTCACCTATGGCGAAGGCGAGATATCCGTCTATCAATTAAGGGATGAGTATACTGCGCGGCAGTTTGTTCTGTTTTACTTTACGGCTGCGAAACGTGGTCATTAAGAGTAGAAGATAATCGTAAGCTACTAGTATTTGACCACAGATGTCTTAGAAATATTGCTCTCATCTACTGAGATCACCGGGTAAGCAATAGTGAGGTTAGACGCAGGGTATTAGGTAATGATGGTAAATCAGTTGATGAGGTTGTTAGTCTTCATCGACTGAGATGGTTGGGCCATGGTGTTGCGTATATCTGAACACCGATTACCACGATTCGCAATCCTGACTGGTGTTAGAGATGGTTGGGAGAAAGTTAGAGGTGGCCAAACTAAAAAGTGGCATCAGTGCTTGAAGTTACTAACTTGTAGTGTTAGCCATGTTGGTAGATGCAGGCTACTTGATTGTTGTCCGTGTGACAATCGTAAACAATGGTTGGAGACTGTGTGTGACATGGCTCAGCGTCGATCACAATGGCGTAGGTGTATACGCACTTTGTCTTCCTTCAAACTGTGAGAATAAAATTGCCTTATATCTTTCTTTCTACGAACTAATTCCTTATTGCTATGCTATATCCTTATATGCAATCTTTCTTTTATACATCACCACCACTGAATTAACTACTTCTATGAATTTGATGTTCATCTTGTTTTGCTAATGCGGTACGACAACTTGGATCGATGCACATAGGTGCTTGTTCCTACGTTGTAGCTGACTGACTGACTGAATCACTTCGTATAAACCTCTCCTAATCATTATGTTACCATTTTTCAAATACGTAAATATCTTGTTTCTATGGGTTCATTCTTTTTCTTATTTTCTATCGTTAACATCTTAGTGTTGTTCATTTCATCGTTTGTTTATTTTTTCATGACATGATATAATGGTGATTATGATCGTAGTGGTAATGCTATTGTAGTTGATTGTTTTTTCTTACTGTGTTTACCTTTAAATGGCATTCATTAAAAGAAAAGAAAAAACAAACTATCCCCTTGCTTGTATACACAGATTTATGTAACATTAAAAGTTCTCATTATTGTCAACCAATAGAATGTATGTTTACTATTTCCTCTTTCAATATTCCTCTCTATGTGT